TGGGAAGTCGCGGGTGACCGTAGCCTTTGCGGCGACAGCGAGCCACACGGCCAAAGAATCGTCAAGTCCCGAATCAAAAACGCTGGTGTAATCACTGACATGAAAGTTTCGAGCGCAGACCAACAAGCCAGCGTCTCTTCAGTCACAACCTCTAGCCGTGAACGCAAGCAGTGCTTAGTACTGTAGGCATGTGGTTCCCTGGCGTCTGCGCCCTGCAAAAAATACTGCGATCATTGTGCCGCTTTTACTGTGTTTAGCGACTGAAATTAGTGACGGGTTCGAATGGAATTCGAAACGTCAGGTCAATGAAATTCCAGCTCCAGCGACGGCATTTTCTTCTTGACTTCCTCCCAGAACCCTCCTGTTGACTGCAATCTAATTCATACACCGGTCAATCGAAGTGGATCCGGAGCCCTGATCAGTTCCAGATGGGTGCGCTGCTGGTAAGTAGTGAGTGCGACCATATGCTCTCCCACAACCCTTCCCTCACAGGTGTAGACATCCGATGTGCAAACAATTTTTGAGCGGGAATAAGATTTCAAGAGGAAAAGACACGTTCTCGTTTTATCCACGTCACGCCTTTGTATTAAAACACGTTGTTTGGGTGGTTAACTGTTCGGAAATGTTTTGGATTTTGCTGAGATACCTTACTCGGAAAGCGGTGCGGTTAGAGCCGCAGATCAGGGACCGCTTATACAGTCTCTGCAACAAGAATCAGGAGCATAGATGGCCAGAAATTCAGGCGACTTCGCAATAAATTCCAGGGGAGTTGCTATGACGGTTGGGGGTGGGGGGGACAGGGTTAAGATTATGACCGGTGTTAGTGTTAGGACCTCTCTGGAATTTAGAACAAGATGACGAGTATTACACCTGGGTGCGTTCCAAGTCGCGTTTTATATACATATGTTATGGAAGATGGGCACCCACAGAAAGAGTCACTCGTCCCCTTTGCCTTCGGCTTTCGGTCTCACTCTCGAGCTCCACTAGTACCCGCTCAGTGGCTAATGATAGAGGCAGAATGACATTACGGACAGACGCAAGTCCGACCGGTCATAGTTTTTTTTTTCTATTATTTAGCCCGCAAATCGGAAAATTGTCCAAGACATAAATCGAACCGCATTGCTTCTGCTCACTGGTGTCTACCGCTTTAACTATCACGCCGCAGCAGTAGGGCAACCTACCTTTTTAATAGCGGGGTTTTGCATATTTTAATAATTAATTCCGGCCCCGTAGCTCAGTTGGCTAGAGCGCTGGCTGCGCTACCCTTGCTGACGTGGCTTCGAATTCCACCGAGGACCAACTTTTTCACGACAAAGTAAAATTTTAGATTCAAACATGCCAAACCTCTCTAGTAATCAAGTCTGTCTGGTAGTCATCTGGTAGATTCTATATTGATTACTTGAAGAAATCCTGCTTGGGCAGTCGGCTTAACGTATCAGCATTGGCGGGTTCTATATGTTGCTGTAGGCTGGGCGGGTGAATTGACCCAATTGCGATTAAGCTCATGACGCCAGGTGGGGGCGTCGTAGCTCAGTTGTACGGAACGTGGACAACTCATGATTGAACGCTTGCCCGTTGTATTTCTTGGCTGTTCAGGTCGCTTCACCTTTAATTATTACTTCTTGCATTACTCCTGTCTTGTTCTGCTATTATTAATCCCGGCGTTATGATAGCGTTCTTATCGTGTTCATCATCCCCGGAATGGAAGAAGAAGAGGGCGCAAGTGCTGGGACCAAATTGTATTTGTGCTGACGTTTCAAAAGCTCACTCG